TTTCGTCCGGTTTTTTGTTGCTTTTCTCGGTTTGTGTTTTGTTTTGTATTTTATATATAGTTTTGTTTATGAAGTTTCTAGGGTAATTGTTTTTAATAATGTGGAGTATAAGTAGTTGCTTTCTGTTTTTTTGGCTTCTTCCGTATTACAATGAGTGTTTATCCTGTTGAAAGGTGTTCGAATGCAGCTTATTTTGTGTAGTGTTGGATGATTGCTGTTGAAATCGAGTATTTGGTCTGTGTGGGTGGTTTTGCGGTATACTTGGGTGTTTAGTGTACCGTCATCTGCTCTGGATAGTAGGATGTCGAGGAAGGTAGGTTATTTGTCGTGTTCTTCGTGTTTATAAAGGTAATGTTCTTTGTGGTATTGTTTATGGTGTGTAGGATTTGTTCAGTTTTCTCTTTCTTGACTATGGCAAAGATGTCGTCGACATATCTTTTCCATAGTCTAATGTTTGTGTTATTTGTGACTGATTGTGTTTCGAGGTGTTGCACGACAGCTTCTGGGAGGAAGGTAGATAGTGGTGATCCCATTGGTGTGCCTGAAATTTGTCTGTAGTATGTGTTTTGGAAGGTGAATTCAGTGGAGAGGCAAAGGTTGAGTAAGTCAGTCTAGGATGTCATTTTGTCTAGTTGTGTTGTAGCTTGCCAAGTTTTGTCGTTTGTGAGTAGTTCGTTTGTAATTTGTTTGGCAATGTCTAGTGGTATGGATGTGAAGAGTGATGTCACGTCGTACGATATCATGATTTCGTCTGGTCGTAGTTTAATGTTTTCAATACTGGCGAGGAAGGTGGTGGCATTTCTGATGGTGTGAGGTGAATTTTTGACTTATGGATACAGAATGTTATAAAGATATTTTGAAAGTTAATACGTAGGTGATACTGGAAGCGATACGATAGGTCGAAGTGGGTTGTTTTCTTTATGGATTTTTGGTAGTCCGTAGAATTTGGCGGTGGATGCGTCATTGGGACGGATTCTTCTGTAGTCGTTTTTGTTTAGTTTCTTTTTGTCTTTCAGTTGTTTCAGTTTCTGGTTGATGCGGTTGGTGTTCGTTTTGCTGGGGTCTGTGTGGAGAAGTTCGTAGGTGGTGGTGTCTTGTAGGAGAGTTTTGGCTTTGTCGATGTATTCTGATCTGTCCATGATAACTGTTTTGCGTCCTTGGTCAGCTCGTAATATGATTATTTCGTCGTCGTTTTGTAGGTTTTTAATTGTTCGTAGTTCTTCGTAGTTTAGGGTGACAGGTTGTTTGTGGCAGAGATTATTTGTGATTCGTCAAGAAGACATTCGTCACAAAATCCCAAATAACCTCTGCCAAAAACAACCTGTCGTACGACCAGACGAAATCATGATATCCTACGACGTGACATCACACTTCACATCCATTCCACTAGACATTGCCAAACAAGTTACAAACGAACTACTCACAAACGACAAACATCTAAGAAAATTGAAACAAGACTCACAGAACACAAAAACGCCATAAAACGACGAGATCCGAACTCACTACCGGCAGAACATACCCACGGAAACAACCACACATTCGACTGGAAAGAAAATAAAGTACTCGGACGCGCACTGACTAAACACGCACGCGAATTTAAAGAAGCTTGGTACAGTAAAGACAACGACACAATAAATAGACATATCGACATACCCATCATATACTCACAACTAAAGAAAAAGGACAAAAAAACTACAAACAACACCAAAACTAAAACACTACACTCTAATATTATTAACACCAATCGTATTAACAATACACCAAAACCCACGGCAACCCATTTCAACCCATCCAATCACATTAATCCACCCACTTATCCAATTAGACGCTCTAAACGTATCCAAGCTAAAAAGCACATGTAAATAAATATCCTCATTCTTATGAAGGCTCGAAGCAACGAGTCGAAAGCTCAATAAAATTCAATTAAAAATACGGAGAAACTTTTATCTTTTATGTATTCAATGCCTGGATTACAAATTTTCAAACTTATATATATATATGTAATTTGTAATCCAGGCATTTAATACATAAAAGATAAAAGTTTTTCCGGATTTTAAGTGATTTTTGTTGAGCTATATATATATATAACTAATTGGAAATAAAATAAACCCCCGAATTACTTCATCGAAATGTAGTCAAATTGTATAACAATGTACCCTCCCTGCTATCACCATTGTATAATGGTGACTCCTGCACATGGGACACAGGACGTAGGATTAAACATAATATAATAATCCTAACACCGTTTTTAATATGCACATGAAAAACATGTGACTTGGAGGAGATTTGAACTCGCACCCTCGGGATACTAGTCCGCCGCTCTACCTGTTGTGCTACCAAGCCCACAGGGATTGGAGACGAGTCAAATCTCATTTAAACTGCGTATGGACGAGAGATTCTCGCCACTATAACAGTCTACTGGATGGCACCGTGTTTCGACTTTATTCCAAAGCCAATGTCGGACTATTTTTAAAGTAAATTTAGGTACATTACGAATATTTGATATAAGGTGAAAATAATGAAGGGTTACAGCCTTCAGATGCTCAACTAGGTGCTGTTCAAATTGAACATGACCATGACATAATAAAGTCATTCTCTGTGGAAGATTTTATGTAGGTAGTATATTATTAATTCAGCTTAAATTTTTATTTTACATGTTTCTATGTGCTTTTTCTTCAGGCCTATGTGTTTTGATGGGAACAAAGCTGTTAAGGAGGCCATTAAAAAAGCTTAAATCAGCATGAATGTACAGAGAGTAATCATCTGATGATTACTACCCGTAGATCCTCCCCTGTGTTTCTCCACTTATAAGTCAAGGCACCCCATTCGGTAAGATATACGGTACTGTTAATATTTTATCGCCTTTTAAGTGAATGAATTTGAACCAAAATCTTAGAAAACTGAACTTAGACGATTAATGAGATGTCTCCTAGAGTAGTGTAGTCTCTTAGAACAGTAACGATCAAATTTTGAAGCTCATTTGAAAAATTGTGCTTTCTTTGCACATTGCAATTGTACGTAAGTCGCGTGACTTACTTGACTTTACCTAGATCCGCCCTTCCGATAAATTAGATTTTTTTGGATCAAAAAGTAACATGCAAAGGTTTACGGGTATTTGTATTTCAAATCCGATGGAAAAAAGTAAATGAAACGCGTGTGTCTAATTTAAGTACTTATGTGGAATGAAGTTGCATCGTATAGCGTATCGGAATACAGATAATCGCGTTCGTCAAAAACATTATCCTGATATGTTATTGAAGTTAATAGAGATAGTACTGATGGGCTTTGACGTCGAGATACATCTTGTTTGGTGAAAATTTTCAACCCGTTTGTGTGCCAAAAATATGAGTAAGATCACATTGCCATGAAACATGATATATCGACCAAAATGGATAAGTTTATCAACTTTGATTGAATTGTTCACCTTAGGAAATTTTTTTCTGTCAAATTGGGAGAGTAATTATTGTAAATACTTTAAAACAAATAAAAGTCTATTTTAAATATGCAAGGGATCTTTCAAGATGGTCATTCCAGAACCTTTAAACCCTTCTCTAACTCCATTGGGGAAATTTCTTGGTGTCGGTATTCTATGATAGATGATCAGCGCCTTCATCATTCGGTAATAAACTCTCCGGTGAAGCAGAATAATAAGAGAAAAGGGACAAGGCAGATAAAGAAGGATATACTCTTTAACTAAGCAAAATAGGAACCTTATTTGAAGCAGGAGCAGTTTAAACCCCAAGCCTAAACTGGCTAGGTGAACCCAAACTTTGCAGCTGATTTTCTCAATCTACCAATTTTAAGCTTTGGCCGAATATTTTTTTAGGATTTTTGAAGAAATATTAGACACATTGACCTGAAATTTTCACAGAAGATTTATGAGCATAAAAATTGTTCAAGGAACTAGGATCTTTGGGTTTGAACTTACCTAAACAAAGTACCCAGCCTTTAAGTCATTAAACTTATGCCGTTTTTCGTTACCTTATTTCAGTTTACTAATTTTACATGAAAGGATGGCCATATTAAGCTCATTCTATTTACTTGCACAGCCCACTGCTTTTTTATAATATGCCAAAGTTTTTGTAGCCATACCTAATATAAAACTGCCAATATTAAATTTCTTAATCTAAATTGTTTTAACCCGGGAGTATCGTTACATGTTTGTAAATGTAGATCGTCCAGTTTGGTATAGTCCTGAGAAGGACTGTTTTTGTTGTTGTTGACTGACGTTTCAACAATCTTAGCTGTAGTCATCTTCAGAGTCAAATGAGGAGTAAACGTCAGGTTAGCCGTATTTGTTGTCAGGTACTTACGCCTATGTATTATGTGTACAGGAAATGTGTGGGTGTCAATTGTGTTCAAATGTAACGTCATATTGTGGAGCTTTGCAACTCTTTCGCTGTTTCTTCATCCAGTTGATGGATTTCTGCTAAATTCGTAAAGAATAAGCATTCTTCTCTTTTCACCTTTCCCAAAAGACTTTACCTTGTTGAACAAGCTTGTCTGTGACGGGAGTTTTCTCTTGCTTTTGTCAACCATTTGTCGATATTAGCCGCCATTTTCATACATTGGATTGATTGTTGCCCAGACTTCAAAGTTGCTTACTCGACAACATTTGAAATGCAAAATATAGTTTTTTAAATTTTCGTCTTCACTTAAATAAGACGATCTACACAAAAGTCGTGACACATTGTCGCACGCACTAAAGCAAGTTAACAGGAAATAGAAACTTAGGAATTCATAATACCTTGATGTTTGACTTCGTTGTAATTTCATTGTTCCTTTTTTTCCGGAAAAAAATGACTCATATTTGTGACATTTTTGCTGCAGGATTTATATTAACTGGAGATAAATGTACTTGCAAAAAAATTACGTCGAAAAAGTTTCTAATTTCTGAAGATGTCATTCAATGATCACGCATTACTCTCGGGTTGGGAAAACAAAGAAAACGCACACACCATATCGACACAATACAAAGTCTTTTTGTTTAATTTGCACTTCGTTGGAGTCACAAACATTATTGGAGTCATACTTTTAGAGGGAACTCATAATATACAATATCAACGTCAAAGGTATTATAATTTTTGTCATAAAGTATTCTTTTAGTTAATGTCTTGTATTTTAACGATACTTTAGGTAATGTCTTGTATTTTAACGATACATTTATATGATATATTTACAGTAAAAGGACTAGCAATTGGAATGTGCTTGTGATCTCTTATAAAAATATTTATCTGCTGTTGTTTTACATTCGTCATATTAAATTGATGACCTGCATTACTGCATAGACTATGCCACGATTTTCAAGTTCAAATTCAATTTGTTGAACTTCATTTGAAACAAAAAAACTCGAAATAAAAACTTGTATGGTTTAACGCTGTAACATAATGCAACGATCTTTGTCTGGCTCAAATCGTATGCACAATTAAGCCTTGCTCACGCATAGTTAAATTATTGTAATTCTATCAGTGGTTGCAATGAATGTTTACAATAATGTTTACAACTATTAGAAGGGCGGATATTTGAAAAAATCGTTCGTTTTGTAAAGAAAGCACAAAATTTAGCAGAGAGGGATCTTATATTGTACTTTTAAGCTCCGTTTCAATATGATCGCTCCTTTTCTAAGGATCGTCTTTGTCGCTTAAAATTTGTAGAAGCAACAAAGACGATCATATGGAAAAGCCCGACTCTAACGACAAAAGCGATCCTTACGTTAGAAACCCTCCTTGCATATAGACCTTCGAGTTTGAGATAGACTCGATGAGTGCTATCCTTCCGATATAAACGATCGGAAACACCTCTTATGTGCGTATATTTTGTAATTGAAACGATTATATCAGAAGCTACTTGATCCACTCGATAAATTCCTTGATACCTCCGTATTTCCATGAGTGTAATTTCGTATTGAAAAATGGCAGCAAGCAACTTCAATTCTACCACTTCATTTATGGAAAAAGTAGAAATTTATGATTGTTTAAATAACAAATTATCAAAACATTAAAAAAAGAAGCACAGGGGAAAACGTAAGGGAAAAAAATCCGGAAAAATTTGCACTTCATTAGTTACTAAGAAAAAGAAGAAGAACAAAGGAGAAAGCCATGTTCGTTGTCTTAAAACAATTAAAAACGTTCCTTCTGGCTCTGAAAGGGACGCTGTGCCGAAACTTGGGAAGTTTGTTGTTTTGGAGTATCTAAATCAGCACACCAGTCTCAGGAAAGCTCATCAAACCTGCCCAACAAAGAAAGTGACAAAGAAGAAGAGGTAATTGATACTGAAGATATGAACACCAGCTCTTGTTAAAATGCCCGAATAGATCATAATAACTTAATAGATGTTGATGTACATAATACTGACTGTCAGAAATCTTACATTGCCACAACTCTGGAATCAACAAGCCCTAGGGATCTAGAGGAGACACCTCTAAAAAATAAATCATTCAGGGGCAGATCCAAAGTGTTGTCAAAGTTGCCATGGTAACAGACATGTTGTTACATATACATTAAGTTATGTGCTATATTATACGTTCAGCTCAAAGGTGCAGTAATTATATTTCTTTCGTTTTAAATATAATTTGATACACGTTCGCAGAATGACCTAAACAAAAAAAAAATAATACGATTATAAGTACATGTAAATTTGTATTATTTGTACTAGCTTTCGGGAAGAGCCCGCGTTGGTTAATTAGTTTGCGAGGTTTGCGCGAGTATGTACCGATTATCTTTTTAGGTTTTGAAAGGAGTTCGTAGATCTGCAACCACTCTTTTCGGGCAGCAGTCAGCAGCCTTTTTGTTGTTAAATTTAGCATGGTGGCAACAGTGTGGTGTTGTTAGCGAATCAAAAGTCGTTATTCTTATCAGATGACAATAGTTTGGAAACAGTGGGGAAGAGTTTTCCCTGAATTATTGCAAATCTGAATCTATACGCAAAAAACTCATAAGCTGTACGATGTAATGTAAAGAATATGTAATGTTTTGCTTATGCTTCGATAAGCGTCTTTTACAACAACTATAGAAAATTGAAGAGATATTTCTCCGCCAAGCAAAATCATGTTAAATAGTTGAAGCTTTTCAATTTCTTCAAGAGCAATGTGTAAATCATTTGTAGAATCTGTGGCGGCGTTACATTGAAAATTTGGGGTTATATTATTCACAGTGGCGTAGCTAAGTAAAATAATAACTACCGCCCATGTCGCACCTGTGGCCCCGAAAAGTTTTGAAATCCAGAGCCTTGAAAACAGCATTTACTGCGATTTGATGGGCAAATTATTTGTTGTGCAATAAGTAATACAAACTTGTTTTTACTAGCTGCATTCTTATTGTGGGTATTATCGAAATTGTATTAACCTATTTAAAAAAAGTACTAAAGGTGGCTCAGAGAAACGTTACGAAGGAGACAATTGTCGCCTAAGGCATAAATAGCTTCCTCAAATAGCTTTTTACTCTTTTTAAGCAAGAAAACGACCTCTTTACTGAAGCTCTTGCCACTGCCAAGACACCATTCAATTTTAACAAATTTGCAACTTGACGTAAACTCAACTGGAGATTAAATTTGTAGATGTATTTAAGCACCTCATTACTGCAATCTTTGGGAAAGTCATTGTTGTTCCAAATAGACTCTCTAAAGTTTGGATGTTAAAAGAGGTACTTATCTTTGAGAAGACTGATCTCCTGAGGAACTATGCCCTTCCATGTATTAAATACTTTAGGATTTACAAGATCTTAAAACTCGAATTTATTATATTTTGAAATCGTTGACTTAACATGTCTTTAATGGAATCAAAAATCTCAAAATAAAGCTGTTTGTAATTGTATCAACTATCTGCTCTGGTTGCTGGTGTGCCTAATTTTCTAGTGCAGTTCAGTAAAACTCAGTGAAAGCTTGATCTTTGCAAAGTGATAAAATAAACTTCTTTTAACTGTCAATCTTCTTATGCCATAATTAAAATGGGTTTCTCTATTTTGAAGAACGGAACACAAAACTGTGGACTGTTCTAAAATCCTGTAAAAAATATTCGCTAGAAAACAAAAGAGAAAGCAATCAAGATAATTGACCAACCATCTAGGTGGGATGGTGAATCATTAAAGGAGTAGTCAGACCTTAACACAGCTTTCACTCATATGAAAGTGTATATTGTTCTTACCTCTCTCGCGAAATCCTAGGTTTCCAATTCAGATGTAACTCGAGAAATAATGCCTTAAATGTGTGTATTTTTGCCTCTTGTTCGATCGCCATTGTGTACATGCAAGCGAAGCCTCAGTCCAGCAGCGGTTTTTCGTCGTTACCTCACTGCGCGGTGATCGTTGTCACACATTGAAAAAAATATACTAGCAATAGTAGAAATTACGCATAAGCATATTCATAGTTGCATTTTATTTTCTAAGTTTTTAAATTATTTTGCGCAATGGATACAGATTACTCAAACGATTCTCTAGTAATTATTCTGGAAGCAGTGTTTCAAACTACGAAGAAATGATTAACGATCAAAACATGATTCAACCATATGCTTAAGAGCCGATTGAAACAGACTCTAGCGACGAGCCTATGGACGACTCCGACGAAGTTCAGCTGTTTTAACAATGAATGAAGACTCAGCACAATTTGAGGGAATAGATACTCCGGACTGTATTACAGATAATCCTGTTTTTCGAAATCTTTGTTTAAATTATTGGGTATTACGACTGGCATGGAGTGAGTACAAACAACACTATGGTTCAAGAGCTGAAGAAGGACCTGAACACAAAAGACAAAGACATGTGGCGAATGAATTACTAATAAATAAAAATATAAATTGGATTTAGTAAATGAACAATAAATACAAATTATAATGGCCAAGCCAAACCAATTCTTTATTTGTTTCTTTATTTGTGCTATGCAAGGATTTTGGTGTACATAATTGAAAAGTTCCTTTGCTAATGAATTTGCATAGCAAAACAAAAAATTGGGCTACTTTACTATTAGAGATTCTCTTACTATTAATTATAAATATTGATATATACATAAACATTTTTGGGAGACTATTTACCCATTCTTGATTTGTGTGCTCGCATAACACTTTCTTTGTTTGGCTTTTCTATAGATGCAATATTTCTTGGAATGTTTGCTGGTAAAGAAATCTTCTTATGTACATTTTTTAAATTAAAACAGCAGACATCTTCCATCATACCTTGCACAAAGAATATGACTTACTCGCCATAATTGGCTTGGTTACCCAATTTTTTCGGCCTTTTGGGAACACAATAAGCACAAGTGGAAGGAGGGAAAATACTTTATTAAAAGTTCTTTTCGTATAAAGGTATGCTTGCAAGAACCAATTTGGCAGTGATAGACCACAATGTAAACACTGGCAGAAAACAAGCACAAGTTCAATGTGGAAAGCATCAAAGGGAAAAGCGATATAATATTGTGTTCCCAAAAAGGCGAAAAAATTGGGTAGCCATGCCAATTATGGGAAGTAAGTCATATTCTTTTGTGCAAGGTATGATGGAAGATGTCTGCTGTTTTAATGTAAAAAATGTACATAACAAGATTTATTTGCCAGCAAACATTCCAAGAAATATTGCATCTATAGAAAAGCCAAACAAAGAAAGTGTTATACAAGCAGAAAAATCAAGAATGGGTAAATAGTCCCCAAAAAATATTTATGTATATATCAATATTTATAATTAATAATAAGAGAATCTCTAATAGTTAAGTAGCCCAATTTTTTGTTTTGCTATGCAAATTCATTAGCAAAGGCACTTTCCAATTATGTACACCAAAATCCTTGCATAGCACAAATAAAGAAACAAATAAAGAATTGGTTTGGCTTGGCCATTATAATTTGTATTTATTGTTCATTTACTAAATCCAATTTACATTTTTATTTATTAGTAATTCATCATTAACGATACTTATAAATATGGCTATAATAATTTACATTCCATTATTATTCATCAGCGATTTTAAAACCCTCAAAGACAAAGTCCTCTTCTAGACCTGGTGGTTGGAAATGTGCTCGAATGCAGCTAACAGCACAAAATGGTAGTGGTACCCTAATTTCCTTGCTCAATACATTCCAGCACCATCGAAGCAG